AAACTAAACTGACGACACAGCTAGCTGTCCAGTACTCTTTGCCGATTTTCCAATGGTTCTCTAACTATCACTTATTTCGTTGGCTGCTACTCATCAGATGCTACTTACAGCCTAAATAAATTATGAGGTTTATGTACAGAAAAGTTTTAACATACTTGTAAGTTTTTCATGGTGTCAGTTGACAGAAAGTTCCGCAATTAGTGAACAGCGTTCGGAAAATTACACTTCTATAGTTTTTACACAGGCAGTTCAAGTTTAAAGAAAAACAATAAATGTATGCATACAATGGTGAAGGAGTTGCGCAATAAAGACGAGAGATGCGTAAGATGCAGAGTGACTCATAAACTAGGTAACAATGTACTGAGTTCAACTCAGCCGAACTGATGAGAAGCCAACGAAATAAACAATATGATGGTACCATATTATTCTGCACAAACTACACACACACTCTGTTGTTCTTGCTTTATTCAAATTCATCAAGGGGAATAAATGCACTGATCGATGGTAAAATCCTGTATCCAATTAAATACCCCACTATCGCCAATGATCTTCCTGATTGTGGGTGGTAGACTGGATAATGCGACAGACAACGGACTGGGCAATGAGGAAACAGGCATAAAATGGACTCACACAAAATGGGACTTGGAGGATTTGGATTTCGCCGATGATATATGTCTGATTTCCCAAAAACTGGAAGATATACAAGTGAAAAGCAACAAGTTGGCTACAGAAGAAGCATCAAAGATAGGACTTCAAGTGAACATAGATAAAACAGAGGTGACGAAGATTCCTGGCCAACACCAACAGCAGCAGCAACAAAAACAGACAACAATCAGCCAGCATAAATGGGAGGAACCTGAAAGAAACAATCTCCTCTACCTACCCACATGGGAAGCATTGTTTCAACTACAGGCGGAACTGACGAGGATATCAAAGCGAGGATTGGGAAAACAAAGCAAGCTTTCATTACTCTCAAGTCTATGTGAAGGAGAAGAACAGCACTCAGCATGAATAAATAAGATCAGTCAGTGCTACTATACGGATCTCCACTATATGGATCTCCACCGCCTCATCCGAACTGATAGATGCTAGAAGACTTATTCCGGCGAGCTCCGAATTCAATGAGGAGCGAAAGCTGCACAAGAGGAAACTTACGAAAAGTCTCCGCAAGGACCGTGAACAGTGGTGGGCGACAAAAGCCAAAGAGATGGAGAAAGCTTGAGGATAGGCAACACCAGGCAACTCTTTGGACTCATCAGGGAAACGGGTGGGAGAAGACAAATCATCAGTGAGACAATCTCGGAAAAAAATGGCACTATAATTAGCTCCAGGATAGACGACTGGATCGTTGGAAAGAGCATTATGAGGAGCAGTTTAATTTGCCCACAGCCACGCTCAACCTTCCGAGCATCCAACACCTCCCTGAATGGGATATAGACACAGGTCCTCCGTCACTAACTGAGGTTACTAAAGCTGTCACCAATCTGAAACTAGGCAAAGCAGCGGGACCTGATGGAATGACGCCAGAGGTATTTAAGTACGGTGGAGACAGCTTACTGTCTGGATTAACTGAGGTACTAGGCAGCGTCTGGGAATCAGAAGAAGTCCCATCGGGTTGGTGTAAGTCACTGATTATCCCCATATACAAGAAGGGAGACAAGTCTTCCTGTGATAATCACAGAGGGATTAGCTTGACTAATATAGTATCTAAAGTCTTAGGCTCAATAATCATGCGTAGACTGAGTGGTGCTCGGGAAGCACAAACACGAGAGAGCCAGGCAGGCTTTAGACCAGGAAGAGGGTGTATTGATCATATCTTCACCCTCCGACAGATTCTAGAACATAGGCATTCCTACCGGCGTCCAACAGTCATTATATTTCTTGACCTAAAGGCAGCATTCGATTCTGTCGATCGGGAAGTTCTCTGGAGATGCTTGGCTGTAAAGGGAATTCCAAGAAAATATATTGCACTGATTAAGGCACTCTATTCGTACTCATACAGCCAGGTGAGGGCTTACGGCGAGCTGTCATCTGAACTGATGACGACCAGTGGTGTCCGTCAAGGATGCCCATTATCTCCTTTTCTATTCAACTTCATCATAGATGTGTTAATGGACTTAACCCTAGGTGACTTCAGCGACTCAGGAATTGACTTGCTACCGGGGAATAATCTCGTTGACTTGGAATATGCAGACGATATAGTCCTTCTAGGCGAAGACGCTGACGAAATGCAGAGTCTTCTAAACACCTTGAGCCGCAATCTACGAATGTTTGGCATGCGATTCGCTCCCGCCAAATGCAAGATGATGTTACAGGACTGGACTACATCGACGCCTAGTTTAAAAATAGGAAGTGAAGTGGTAGAGCACGTTGACCGCTTCACTTATTTGGGAAGTACCATCAGCCCCAACGGGCTGATCTCTGACGAAATCTCAGCACGAATACAAGGGGCTCGTTTCGCATTTGTTAGTTTACGCCGACTCTGGCGTAGACGAGATGTTCGACTATCGACCAAAGGGCGGGTGTACTGCTCATCAGTCCGCTCCGTCCTCCTTTATGGTTGTGAGACCTGGCCACTGAGAGTGGAAGACATGAAAAGACTAGCTGTCTTTGATCATAGGTGCCTGCGTTCTATTTCCCGTGTAAAGTGGCATAATAAGGTGAGCAACATGGAGGTTAGGCGTAGAGTTCTAGGTAAACAGGGGAAATCAATCGACGAAGTCGTGAAGCTACAAAGACTGAGATGGTTAGGACATGTGTTACGTATGCCAAGCCATCGCCTCCCTCGACGAGCAATGTTAGCGGATATAGGGTCAGGCTGGAAAAAAGCTAGCGGCGGTCAAACAAAAACTTGGCATCAGTCAATGAAATCCACAACAGTTGGTCTAAGCCACGTAGGAAGGTGTAGACTTCCAGGCTGGGGTCCTCGGGACGGTAAAAATCTATGGTTGGAAACAATTGGTGACATGGCTCAAAATCGTTCTCAGTGGCGCAGATGCATCCACTCCTTGTGACTTATGATCTCCAATGAAACTGTTTTGTATTTCTTTATTACTCCTTTGTCTCACACCTCTGCTCACTGTTTCTATTATGCTTTTCTTGTACTTTCTTCTCTTGCTTCGCGTGCTACACGGAATGTGGCGACTTGAACTTCCGCACATTTGTGCAAAGTTCTATGTCGAAAACAGACAGACAGACTATACGGATCGGAGACTTGGCGCGTCATATACAGCATCTCAAACAAACTACAGACCTTCATCAGCAGCTGCCTTCGCTCAATACACAATATCAGATGGCTGGCCAGAAAAGATCAGAAACACGGATCTCTGGCAGTGAGCGAACCAACCAGGAATCAATTGTGAAACAAATAAGCAGGAAGAAATGGAGATGGATTGACCATACGCTGAGGAAACAAACCATCAAGTGATATCGCTAGACAAGCCATGGCTCGAGTGGAACCCGAAAGGGAAGCGGCGAGCTGGTCTTCAGTGGGAGGGTGGGATGACATGGAGGAGGTGATGTGAAGAGGAGATGAAAACATGTAGGCAGACTTGGAGCGGGGTGAAAACGTTGGCAGAGAACTGAACGCAACGGAGACCTGGGCGACTGAAGCACTATGTTCCTCTAGGAATTAAAGGATATAATAATAATAATAATAATATAATCATCAAATCCCCTACAAACCAACACTTGAATGAATTGATTGAAGATTATATGACTGGCAATCATTTTTATGCTCGAAACCAGTTATCATCCAGTTTGTTAAAAAAAATAATACATCATCAACGTTGTGTGTAAATATTTAAAATAAACATTTATCTATTATCTAGTTTAGATCCTAAACACACATCGACAGGTCTAATACAACTTAAAATTTATAGTCTCTATACATCGTGTGAAAATAGATCCATGCGTACCAGGTAATGTTTATCAATACGCTCACTATTGTTATTATTATTATTACTATTACTATAAACACAAATCAATTATTAATTCTCGAATGAATATGAAAATATTAATAACAAAAAAACGCTACTTAGTGTAGTTATAAATTCGAAATAATCATAATACACCTGTTATGTTTGATGTCATACAAAATCGAAGACCGAAGACAAGCGAAAACCGACCGACAAACTGGTCGAAGAAGCATCCGGCGAAGATAGGACTCACTGAAAGTGAACATAGACAAGACGGAGGTTATGAAAATAACCAGTCAACCAACCAACAAAAACAACAACAGCAGCAGCAGCAACATCCAGAGCCAATCACCATCAACAGGAGGGATTTGAAAGAGGTTACTTCATTTGCTCACTTATCTAGGGAGCATTGTCTCAAGTACAGGAGGAACGGACGAGGATGTCATCAGTCTGAAACCAATCTGGAAATCTTCGTCACTCAGCATCAACAACAAAATTCAGTAGGATTTTCAATACAAACAAACGTCAAGTCAGTCAGTTCTTCTATACGGATCAGAAACTTGGCGGGCGGGTCACAAAGAATATTTCCAACAGTCTGTTGCAGACCAGACATTTATCAACAACTACCTGTCTTCGCTGGATTTATACTGAAGATCAGATGGCCGGACCGGAAAGAATCACCAGCAAGAAACTATGGGAACAAACAAACAAAACAAGAACCAATCGCCCAACAACAACAAATATGCAAGAGAAAGTGCATGGAGATGGATTGGACACCCACTGAGGAGGCCCACCGCTGGGTGACATCGCGCGCGCATCAGGCCATTGCTCGAGTGGAACCAGGCCGAAAGGGAAGCGGCAAGTGGGACGTCAGTGCGAGGGTGACATGGAGGAGATCGTGAGAAGAGGAGTTGGTTGAAACAGTATGGACTAACATGGATGATGCAAGTGAAAAGTACGGCAGAAGGAAGACAAAAGTGGCAAATGGAGACGTGTAATTGAAGCCCTATGTTCCACTAGGAACCCAAGGGAACAATAATAATAAAATGATAATAATAATAATACACCTGTATGTCGACTTACATCAACATCCGCCAATCCCCTGGCGACTTGATTACCACCACCAATCTGTGATTTAATTGTCAATTTCTGTGTTACAATTGAACCAACAGTCTCAGCAGTTGAAATTGGTACAGGTATACGTGATTTATGAATACTTGGCAATCGTGTTTGCTTAGAATCTGTCAGTGAAGTATGCGATAATGTTGAATTTGATGTCGTTGCTTCTGCTGCTGCGGTTGTTGTTGTTGTTGTTAGTGGTGGTGGTGGGGACGTCGTCGTTCCACTGCCACTACCACTGACAGGTTTATTCGATTTCGAAGGAATAAAAAATGGATTTGTCTTATGCAACAATGATTGAGGGTATAAAGAAGATTCAACACTTGGTAATCCATTATGCAATAGGATATTACTATCCGCAGAATGCTGAGGATGCTGATGATGATGATCACGAGCTGATAATGTTGAAGAAGACGATTTACTGACAGAAATTGTTAAATCACCTGTAGATTCAGATAATCCGCCTCCTGTAATAACTGCCCCTCCTTCTACTGCTCCACTAGACGAGGATGTTGATGATGGTGGTAGTGGTTGTGCTGGACCATCGACAACACCGCATATTGATGAAGAGGATGATGAGGTACTTTCATCCATAAATTTTAATTCACTTGATGTGCTATTTCGATTATCACTGGTATTATTATTGTTATTATTATTACAATTATCAATTATGGGTAAATCTATTTCATTTGAAGACAGTGCTGTAAGAGAGGGAATTTTCACGGAATCTTTTTTTAATAATAATCCACAATGATGTTCATTATTATTATTGCTGTTAGTATTATTGGAACAATTGATTTCTGTTTCCATGCTAATAAATAAAAAGATAATAATTACATGATAATAATAATAATAATAGTATCTTTAATAATAATAATAATAACCCCGCCTAGTTAACTAGCTAGCTAGTTTTCTAACCGGTCTGTCTGCCTGTTTTCAACATAGAACTTTGCACAAATGTGCGGAAGTTCAAGTCGCCACACTCCGTGTAGTACACAAATCAAGAGAAGAAAGTAGAAGAAATGCATAATAAAGACAGTAAACAGAGGTGTGAGACAAAGGAATAGTAATAACGAAGAACAATATAGTTTTATTGGAAATTATAAGTCACATCTGCGCAATGCACTGAGGACGACTCTGAGTCATATCACCGGTTGTCTCCAGCCGCCAGTGATTCTTGCCGCCTCGAGGACTACGATCACGAAATCGATACCTTCCTACGTGACTGGCTAGCTTAAACTAACTGTTGTGGATTTCATTGACCGATGAGGCTATGTTTTGCTTTGACCACCACTAGACTTCCGTTTTCTAACCTGACCCTATGTCAGCTAACATTGCTCGTCGTCTGTCTGTTTTCGACATAGAACTTTGCACAAATGTGCGGAAGTTCAAGTCGCCACACTCCGTGTAGCACGCGAAGCAAGAGAAGAAAGTACAAGAAAAGCATAATAGAGACAGTGAGCAGAGGTGTGAGACAAAGTAAGAGTAATAACGAAGAACAAAACAGTTTCATTGGAGATCATCATTGCTCGTCGAGGTAGGTGATGGTTAGGTTAGGCATGAGCAACACATGTCCTAACCATCTCAATCGATGTAGCTTCAAAGCTCGTCTGTTGATTCCCCCTCCCTCCTCATCTAGCACTCGACTGATGTCTAACATCAGTATTGCTTAACCTAATATACCACCTAACACGGGAGATAGAACACAGACACCTCTGATCAAAGACAGCTAATCTTTTCATGTCTTCCACTTTCAATGGCCAGGTCTCACTCACAGCCAGCCATAAAGGAGGACGGAGCAGACTGCCGAGCAGTACAATTCACCTGCCCTTTGGTCGATAGCCGGATATCACGTCTACGCCAGAGATGGCGTAAACTGGCAGGCATATGCGAAACAAGCCTTCTACATCCATGCTGAGATTTCGCCAGCGATCAACCCGTTAGCACTGGCTGATGCAACTTTTCAAATAAGTGAATCGGTCAACGTGCTCTACGATTTCACTCCCTATTTCTAAACTAGGAGTCAGTGTAGTTTCTAGCCGGTCCGAAGCCTGGGTAAAGAGGGAGGGTTGGACGTGGGGTTAGCAACCCCACACCACAAAACCTTACAAACCGCTAGAGAAACTTCAACATACAGAAAATATCTATTAAAAATACAAAAACTTCAAATAACAACAGTGATTCATTGATATAAGAATACAACTTGTGCACTGTGGTATAGTGTAATTCCATTACGGTTAAACTTTCTTTTGTTTATCAACACAAATTTTACCCATAAGGGAACAATCTGATTCGTCGCTGGAATCGAAGAGGAGAAATGGCACAGCGGGCTGGTGAAAGCCAGTCGACCAGCCGTGTCTTCTCTCTCTCTCTCGATGAAAGCATGAGTAAGAATGCGGAAGTGGAATGTCCGTAGAATGTACAAGGCTGGCTGGGAAGGCTGCCCAGGTAGGTAGGCAAAGAGATGTGAAGATATGACTTAGAAATATTAGGTATCTCTGAGAAAGCAGATGGAATGGATGTGGATTGACATTGTCAACGGAAGAGTCAGTAATCTACCCCAGTTTAATCATCTAGACGACAACCACGAGCACAATGAGGCAGTGAGTGGCTATCATGATGTCACCAGTGGCAGCCAAAGCCCTAATGCAGTGGGAAGCAATTTCATCCAGGATCATTGAAGTCCTACGTTCCATTCGGAACGCAAGGGAATAATAATTTATTTTTTATTTTGATTATAGCTTGAAACCATACAGTATTTTTGCTACAAGTATGAAATTTTCAGAATGTGATAACGGTAGCCCAAATTTTGCAGACCGACCACTGATATCAGGTGTGCGTCGGCAGGGGTCGAACCCGGACTATGTGCATGGTTGACGAGAGTCCTAACCGCTGTGCCACCGACGCAGCTGTTTTTAAAAGGAACATTAGTACGAAAGAATTCAAAGACTTAGTATAATATATACCCAGATTAAGATATGGTATTATATAGCTAAGAGTGAAGCAATATGGTTAATAATATGCCTACTCATTATTCGACTTTTAATCAAAGGGTTATTGGTTCGAAGTCCGCCCCAACTTACGTAATTTCTTAGTTCAAGAGCGGAGAATGGACAGTGAAAGGAGAGTTGCCATCTGATAACTGTGATGAGAACCAGTGGTATCCGTCAGGGATGACCTGCCCACCATCTCCATTTCTGTTTAATTTCATCATCAATGTACACACTAAAGGAATTAACCTTAACTGAATTCAGTGACCCAGAGATTGACTTTTTGCCAGGGAATAATCTCGTTGACTTAGAATATGCAGGTGATAAAATCCTCCCTCCTAGGTGAGGACGCTGATAAAATTCAGAGTCTTCTGAACACCTTGAGGAGCAACAATCTCCCGATACTAGGCACGCTATTCGCTCCCACCAAATGTAAGATGATGCAACACGACTGGACTACATCGACTCGTAAGTTAAAGATAGGGAGCAAGTGAAGTGGTAGAGTGTGTTGACTACTTACTTCACTTATTTGGGAAGTTGCATCAGCCAGCGCCAATGGGGTGATTGCTGATGAAATCTCAGCAAGCGTACAGAAGGCTCGTCTGGCATATGCCAAATTATGCCATATAGAGCTGAGTAGACATGACTACCGGTTGTCAACCAAAGGGTGTGTGTGTACTGCACCCCTCTGTCCTCCTTTATGACTGTGAGCGAGACCTGGCCACTGAAAGTGGAAGACATGAAAAGCCTCGCTGGCTGTCTTTGACATAGATGCCTGCGTCCTGTCTCTCGTGTTAGGTGGTGGTATAATAGGGTGAGCAATATTGAGGTTAGGTATCAGTCGAGTGCTAGTTGGTAAGGAGGACAAATCAGTCGACGAAGTTGTGAAGCTAGCTACATCGATTGATATGGTTAAGGTATGTGTGACTAGTCATCGCTTTCCTCAACAGGTAATGTTAGCTGACAAAGGATCATGTCGCAAAAGACCTAGTGGTGGTCAAAACAAAAAATGGCTGCATCAGTCAATGAAATCCATAACAGTTAGTTTAAGCCAACCAGCCATGTAGGGAGGTAAAGACTATGTGACTGGTTGGGGTCCTCCGGATAGTAAGAACCGATGAAGGCTAGAGACAATTGGTGATATGGCTCAAAATCGCTCTTGATGGATGCTGCAGATGCATTCACTCTTTGTGATTTATCACATCGAATAAAAATTTATTATTATTCTGTATTACTACCATCTTTTTTGCATCACACTTCTGTTTATTATCCTTCTTTCTTTACACTGCTCTCTTGTTTTGTGTGCTATATGGAGTGAGAGTGGCAAGTTGAACTGGTGCCTTTCTGTGCAAAGTTCTTTGTTGAAACCAGTCATTTATATCATCAACAACAGCCTCCAGTCATAGGTTGTTAACATTTAAATGACACCAAACAAGCAGTCTATACCTCCTCAAGTGGCTGGCTCAAACCAACTGTCAAAGACCTCCTGGATGATTCCGGATTTTCGTTTGAACACTCTTAACTCTCTCCCAACCTAATCCTATATCAACTAAAATTACTTGCCGAGGAAGGCGGTGGCTCAACATGGTCAACACATGTCTGTCCTAGCCGTCTCAATCAATTCACATACACAAACTGGTCGATCCACGACTTCCTTTACTAACATAACTGTCAATAGGCTTCACTTCAAGCTCACTCACCATTTTCTATTGCTTAACACGGAAGACAGAATACAAACAAACGTCTGAGGTGAAAAACAATTACCCTCAACATAACTCTTTCAATTTCATTGACCACGTCTCAATGACAGATTGACTGACTGGTTTTTACTTGGAACTTTGCACATAAGTGCACCAGTTCGAGTTACCACACTCCATGTATTATACAAAAGAAGACAAATGAGAGAGAGGGAATTCCATATTAGTTTGTTTGTTAGATATATCACACAGTCAGTGAAAGAGTATTATTTACTGGACGACACAGTTTCGAAGACAATTTACTATTGTTCATAATCATATCAATAATAATCACCGTAGTCTGACTGGCCCTGTTCTACTACTTTGACCTATGTATTTGACCTGGCAATCATTCCAGCAGGGTATTAGATCAACTAAATTGTTTTTTTATTTAGTTCCATAGGCACGAACCTTTAAGCGACAAAGCATGTTTCTAATTGAGTTTGTGAGGAGTTTAAATGCCACTTTTATTCCCGTTTTTTTAAGAATTCTGCGTAAGGTTTTCGAGGTTCCTTCCTTGTATTGAATTACTACTGTTTATCTAGATTGCTTATTGTTGGTGTTGTCTTGCGTGCATTTGACATGCATGTCGTCATTACTATTGCTATTATTATTATCATCACTATCACTACTATCATTATTTTTTTTACATTTTTTTACATTTCCCCACATACTTTCTGATTAATTTATCGGGGTAATTATTAAGTTTCAAAGCTTTTCTGATATGCTTCACTTTCTGTCTTACATTTTCCTTGGTACTAGTTAACTTTTGTGCTCTGTCACTTAAACATTTCACCAACCCTATTTGCACTGACATAAAATGGGATGTTCAGTAGTCCAAATATCTGTTTGAATGTGTGGGTTTCCTGTAAACAAGCACTAGTGTTTAACTTCCCATCTTCTTTCCTTTTTACGTTGCAATCTAACATTGGAAGTTCCCCTTTCTGACTTTCCAATTCATAAGTGAATTGAACTGCCTCTACTTTCGAGTTGATGTGCTTGAAAAATCGATCTATATCTTGTGTTCAAAGTACAGTGAGTACAGAGAGAGAGAGGGGGGGAAAAGATTCAAAGAACGAACTATA